ATACCCTCTGAAAGAAGTACAGAAATAAGTGAATTAATTAAATTTCACTCTAGAATTATTGCTATGACAGTGATCATCCAGTGAACTTTAAATTGCAATTATAATGAACTGCCTTTAGTATTTTCTTTTTCTTTTTTTTTTGCCTTCAGTATTTTACAATTTTACGTTATCACCTTCACTATCTTCTAAGTCTGTACTGTTCAAAGTAGTGCTATGTGATATTTTAAAATTAATTTAAATAAAATTAAAATTCAGTTTCATTCACCACATTTCAAGTGCTTGGTAGCCACATGTGGCTGTTAGTTAATATGTTAGCACAGATACAGATCATTTCATCATTCCAGAAAGTTCTGTTGGACAGCACTGGTTTACACTTTTCCTTTGCTTAGCTTTTCCTAGTTCACTCCCAAAGTCCATAGCCAATTATATAAATCTTACTTCATAATGGTCAGCTTATTAAGTTGTTTTTGATTTCATCTTTATCTCCAAAAGCCTTTCTGATCTATTCCAACTAGCCAGTTTGCCTTTTGAGCCTGTTACATAGCTTTCATTCTGGAATGTCATTTCACTGTCATCATGGGTAGGATTCTGACACTTCCTGGGTCTAGGAAAAAAACGAGGAGTCTCAGTCTGCAGCCCTTCCATCTTTTCTTCCTAATCCTGGCTACACCTCACACTCAGTCTATACATCCAGGCTCATTGCTTGGTCCCACATACTGGGTCTGGACATGTGTACATGTCTGGTCTCTAAGTCAGCCTTAGTCATGATGCATTTGGAAAAGAGTGTGTGCAAATTCTGAGACTGGGTCTAGTCGATTCGAGCAGGGAGTTCTGAGGTCCTGAGTACTAGACACGTGGTTCGGAAGGCAGCAGTGTAGAGACTGGTGGGTTCCATCATGTTGGCTTCTAGGACTTCTCACCCTGTTGGGAGAGGCACATCTGAAGGAGGGTCAGAGTGGGGCCCTTTACAGTGCAGGATTTGGAACAGAGTCTCTGGCTATATAGGTCTGAAGGCTCCTTTGTTTCTCCCCAGTCCTGGATTTCCTGTTTCCTGTATTCCTTTTCTGCTTTTTATTGATTTACTTACTCCTTTCAGAGGAGAACATCTTCTGTTTGCTTCCTGAGAAAGTCGCCTGGGAGATGAACTATTTGAGACTTTGACTTAAAAATATTTCTATTCTATCCTCATAGTTGACTGATAATTTTGTCATTAAATTCTAGATTGGAATAATTTTTAAGAATTTTTAGACATTATTACATGATTACCTGGCTTCTCATGTTGCTGTCGAGAAGTCTGCAGATTCTGGTTCTTGGGTTTTTTTTTTTTTCCTGACTTTTTCCTCTCTGGAAACATAGTTATTTTCTCTTTGTCCCAAGTGTTCTACCATTTCGCAATAACAAGAAGAGGTGTAGGTCTATTTTTACCCAGTATATTAGGAACTCGTATACTTCAATTCTGGGAAATATTTTTGAATTCTTTGAATTTCTCTATTTTCTCTGTCCTCTTTCTGAACCTTCTATTATTCAGGTAATGGATCTCCTGGACTAGTTCACTAATTTTATCTTTTTTTCTATTTTTCATTTTGTATTTTTGTTATACTTTCAAAAAATGAGAGTTTGCCTCAATTTCCAATCATTCTATCGGGTTTTAAAACTTTCTATCATTTTTAATTTCTAAGAGCTTCAGAATGTTTTTTTAAAATAACATCCTATTCTTAATTCAAGATTGTAATATTATCCCTATCTCCTTGAGAATATTGATGGTAGTTGAACCCCCCTCCCTCCCTACCCTGCTCCAAGTTTGTTTCCTCTAAGTGGCTGTTTTGGTCTCTCTCATTCAGAGCTTTCCTCAGATATTTCAAAGTTCAACTCATACTTAAAGATAGATGTCCAAAAAGCTCAATGGGCTCTATTGATTGTGAGCTTGACTGAAGGGTGATCTGGCTGCCTCATTTAGTTGGGGAAACCTGTGATGCCAATTGACCTTCTCAGACCCGTCTGCTTTCCCCAGAACAGTCTTCCCAATGTCCTGCCTGGATGATGGATGCTCCTCCGCCAGCATTCTGGGAGCTGAGAATAGAGGGTCATAGATTTCAGCATCCAACATGCATACGTTTATTTAATCTTTCTATTATTGGTTCAATAATTCTACCCTCAACTTGTATCTCAGAGACCCTACATTTTAGTCTTCAGAGAATAAATCTCAAGTTTTCCTTTGGGGATGAAGATGGGAAATGGTCACCTGACTACATGGAGTGAAGAAGATCTGGGTTTCTGACTGCCTTTTAAATACTTTCAATCTTTCTTATTTTAGATATACCCTCTTTACCCTACTCTCAAAGAGTATGTGATGCCCCAATTCCTGAACATTTACCGGAATTTAAATCGGATTGGCCTTTGGATTTTCCCATGGCTTTTTTAGGATTCAGCTTTTTCAGGTCTTCTAAGTCATTAACCCTTGGCCTCCTGTTTTCCCGGCTTCTAAAATGTCATTGCTCTAGTCTCTTCTCCTGTTCTCCCTTTTCTTGTAGATATCTTAAAAAAATCATTTACTGCTGTTTTAATGAAGTTTGGGGGGGTGAGAAATACATGCATATGCTTACCTAGTTATTTTTCCTGGAAATCTGCTTTCCAGGTGAGCTCAGTTTGATCTCACTTTTGAGCTCAGCTCACATGCTCCCGAATAATCAGTCGATCAGGATTTCCTCAGTCACTTCAGGCCTCTGTCCTTCGGGAGATGCCTCTAAGTTCCAGCTTGCTTACATAGAGCCATCAGGTCGGTTGCTAATGTGGGGGTGGTGGGGTTCTTTGGTTGCCATCATGTAGTCACACTGACAACCCACATCAACTTCTCATCCTTCACCTGGTCTCTGGTTAATAGTCTACTGAGATCATGCCTGCAATCTTCCCATTCCAAATCTAGGTCTTTTCCAGGTTTGTAGGCTCTGGATAGCATGCTGGTGTGTGAGCTGACTTGATGAAGCAGCCTCAGACCTGTCTACCGAGGCAATCCACGTGGCTGGCTCTCCTCCTGCTCCTACACCATGCTGGGCAGGAGACTTCCTGCTTCCTCAGATTCTACCTGGGACATAGGGGCACAGACTTCTTCTATTTTTGGCTTCCAAGTGTTTCTGGAGCTACCATTCCACTCCATGGGGGATTCCATCCACTGAGTCTATTGTTGATGCCTAAATATTATGCCCTAAGTTTTTTACGGTTTTGGATTCTGAAGTTTAGAAGCTCAGGTTATAGTATCTCAAAAGCCATTTCTCTAACACTTTGATTTTTGCTGAGAGCTTCTGAAGTCAGTTTAGAAACTCAAATGCTGAGCGTTGTGTTTCTGCTCTGGTTTTCCATAATGATGTTGTGAGGCCTTGAGCGGGGAAGACCCTAGCTGGGTGGGGTGGAGTGGAAGGGTCGCCTCACTATAAAACCTTTAGGATCAACTTTTTTGCTCTATTATCTTCTCATACATATAAAAATTTGCGAATGTTCAGTTTGTTGAAGGCAGAACCACACTTCATTTTTTTTAAGGGAAGAACATTTTCTTTATTCTTATAAATATGTCAAGCATACAAGAATTACTTCATGGATTTGTTGAAGACCTTTAACTTTGTATCTTTATGGCACATGATGATGGTGCCTAGAATACAAACATTTAAATAATTGAGAAATTTGCTAAATATATCTTGGAAGAGTTCCAAAAGAGAAAATAAATGTTACCCTTATACACTTAAAACAATTATATTAATTATATTTACAATATTTACCTTATACAATTAAAGAATTTACTTGGAAAATAACTACATGAATATAAAAGAGCTGCTAAAATTAAAAAAAAGGACCCTCATGTATGGTTAAAATAATCCTTTTTTAATTTGACTTTTCAATTCAGGTTCAAGTTGACAGGTCTGTTTTAGTAGCCCAATGCTCAAGGCCAAAGAGGACTAGTTTTCCTTGTTGTCTGTTGCCCAGTGCCAAGAATTCCAGTGCGTTCCTTTTTTAGAAAATGCAGCTGCTGGTTTCTAGCCACTCCAGACTCAGGTGACAGCTGAGAGTGGAGAGGGGAGGCAGGTATAGTGAAAGCCCAGGGTCAGGAAGGCTCCTTGGTAATGAGGGTAGAAGTAAATACATCAGTTGGGTGCAGAGACATTTCCAAGATGTATTGAGAAGTGGGTGGGATAGAGTAAGAAATTTATCCTGGGCTGCAAAAGTAGATGGGGCTTTATGGTCCTTCATGACAGGTTGATAGTGAATTTCAAACCATGCAATTATTGCCAACTAATTCAAATGAACAAATATTGAATCCCTCCTAAATGCAAACAACTATGCTAGCTCCTAGGGATAAAATACAAAAATTAGCAAAATAAAGCTCTTATTTTCAGTGGCATTTGCAACAAGTTTCCTCATTTTTCTCATAACCCACTAGCTGTGTGGCTTCTCTAATTTGAAGCTTCTCAATCATTCTCCTTTTCCTCTGGGGCAGGATACAGATGCCTTTATTTGACTTCTAAGGCCCTTCATGACCCAGTTCCAGCCTATTGCCCCAGCCTCTTATGCTTAGCGTCTTGGTATATGGTGAACAGACCATGCTACCATATTCTTATGACTGGAATGCTTCATCTTCACAATTTAGCTGAAACGTCATCTTCTCTGTCACACATTCTGTTACTCCTCCCCCTTAGCCATAGGCTGTGTTGGGGCTCCTCTTCTGTACTTCCTTTGTGCCTATCACTATTTTAACCTTCAGTGAGATAATATTGGAATTATTTGTGTCTAGTTTATTTTCTCCCATAGTAGAAACTCCTTAAAGGATGCAACTGTGTCCTAATCACCTTTATATCTCCAGCACATGCCATAGTCCTAGTACACAGCAGACTCAGAATTAGTAATGGCTTGGCAAATGAATAAAATGACTTCATTTACTGTCCCTTACTTTTTTGATATATCAACTGCCAATTTAAAAGTTTTTAATATTAATTTCCCCCAATGTTACCAAGTCTCTTTCCAGAATGCTGTCAGAAGGGTACCTCAGTGGACTTGCCTACCAGAAGGATATCCACTGGAGTTGTGCATCTTATAATGAGCAGGTGGCTGAGGAGAAGGAAGAAGAGATGAAATCTGCTCTTTCCTATTCCTCTGTGGATGAGACACAAGTCAGAAGTCTCTATGTGAGCTGCAAATCCTCTGGCAAGTTTATTTCTTCAGTGCATTCGAGAGAGAGCCAACACAGTAGAAATCAGAGAATCACAGTGCTACAGAAAAACCCCAATCCTGTGTTTGAAAGCCCAAATATGGCTGCAGTGGAAATATGTAGACACCCTAGCAGAGAGACCTACTTGGTTCCACCTTCCTGCAAAAGTATTTGCAAGAATTACAATGACTTACATATTGCAGGGGGTCAGGTGATGGCCATTAGTTCAGTGACAACAGATTTTCCCTCTGAGAACAGTTTTGAATTTGGCCCTTTGCTGAAATCGTCTGAGATTCCTTTGCCCATGGAGGATTCCATTTCTACTCAGCTCAGCGACTTTCCCCCAAAACCTATACAGCGGTATTCATCCTACTGGAGAATAACTAGCATCAAGGAGAAAAGCAGTCTGCAAATGCAGAAGCCTATTTCTAATGCAGTGCTGAATGAGTACCTGGAGCAGAAGGTGGTGGAGTTATATAAGCAATACATTATGGACACTGTGTTTCATGACCATTCCCCTACGCAGATTCTGGCATCTGAACTCATCATGACGAGTGTGGACCAAATTAGTCTTCAAGTGTCTAGAGAAAAGAACCTGGAGACCTCAAAAGCCAGGGATATAGTCATTAACCGCCTGTTGCAGTTGGTGTCTACTGAAATCAGCACTCCTAGTCTCCATATTTCTCAGTATAGCAATGTGACTCCATAGAGGATGCTTCCATTCCTCTTAACTACTCGCAGCTAAAGCACCACTTTATCCATTTATTCTGAGAATGTGGAGGAGGGGGTTGTGAAGGAGTAAAGAGCAAGGGAAGTAAAGTTCAGCTGGAGGTCAGGTGTGAATTAAGAGGAAATCTCATATTACACATGATGAAATGTGGGAAGAAGAGCTATAAAGAATGATTTCAAAGCAATAAAGCAAAAATAAAGATGATCAAAAAAACAAAGGTAGGATTCATTTAAGGGGGGGGTACAGAAATGAAAAGACAACAGCCAAAGAAACTTACACACGTCATGTTAAAATTAAAAAGCCAAAGGTTTCAGGGTAAAGAGTTAAGAATATATTACTCAAAAAATTCCTCCAAGTTGTTTTCCCTTGAGGGAAATGGACTATAGAAGGCTGCTATATTTGGGTAGAGAGACAGGTTCAGTTTTCAAAATATGTTTATCTCTTTGTTCTGTATAAGTAGATCACTTAAAATATATTCTTTATAAACATTAAAACAGTAGCAAATTGTAATTGTGTTTTCCTTTTTGAATGATTACTTAGCTACAGCCAAAGCCACAGAACAGCCACTCAAATCTAATTTTGTTTATTAGTGGAGATGAAGTGTTCTAAATGGAAAATACCACATAGTGAATATAAAACTATTTTGATTTTGCTGTATATGATTTTCTTGGTCATAATTATGAATCTTTCCCCCCCATATTTTCTCTTCCTTTTCTCCATGCTCTTTTGACCCTTCTGGAGTCAGGAAGGGGGTCTTCCACATCCTGAAAACAAAGTTACAAGTTCTAGGGTCCCATATAAAATTCTGTAAATTTATGCACGAGATCGGTAGCTTCATGAGCGCCACACTACTCAACCTCCTTCCTCTAGCGCAGGGATTGACAAACCAAGGCTCATTGGCCAAATCTAGCCTGCTACCTATTCTTTTTGAGATATGATTGACATATAACATTAGTTTCAGGTGTACAACATGATTTGATATTTGTACATATTGTGAAATGGTCACTACAATAAATCTAGTTACATCGTTTTTCAACTTCCATGAGCTAAGATTTTTTTCAACCATTTAAAAATAGAAAAAAACAATGAAAATAAGAATATCTTCTGACATGTGAAAGTTATGATATTCAAATTCAGGGTCCATAAAATAAAGCTGTATTAAAAAAATAAAAGTAAAGCTGCATTGGAACACAGCCGCACCCATTCATTTATATATAATCTATGGCTGCTTTCACATCAGAATGGCACAGTTCAACACACATGACAGAGAATACATGATCCACCAAAGCCTAACACACTATATGCCCTTTTATGGAAGAAGCTGCCTTGCTCATATAATGGTTGCTTGACATAATTCAGCTTCTCTGGGGAAGGTGACTCTGAGATGGAAACTGGTGAGCATGTTCATTGGGAAGCATTGGGAAGAACCTCTGTGAGGGAGTGAGGAGAGCAGAAGAGGTTTCCAGAGAGCCCTCAGGCCAACTCAGGGAGCTCTAGAGTTGGTGTGGTCCTTCAAAATGGTCCCAAATTAAAATTAGAGGATTGGCTCTGGTTCACTAGCTTGACCAGAAGGGGACATAACTTTAGTTGAGGCAGTTCAGTTGAGTGCAAAATTCCCAGAGTGGGAGGAATCAAGAGTGGGTCTTCAGCAGCCAGTCTCAAAGCTGCTGAGGGAATGAGCTTCTCTTCCAGAAGGAGTGATCTGTGGAGCAAAACATCATCCTCTACATTTCTCAGTATTTATAGAGTGAATGGTATTTTTTACAACGAAAAATTGCATAAAGAAACCTGCTTTTGAAATTATTCAGAAATGTTATTCATTGTTTTAAATATGTCATAATAGCTACTATGTATTAATTACTTGCTATGTGTTTGGCGCCATGTTAAGCATTTTGTATGAGTTATCTTATATAATTCTCATAATAACCTTATGAGAGTGCCCTCCCCCCGCCCCCCTTTCAAACAGATGAGCCAGCTGGGCTCAGGGAAGTCCAAGGTCACACAATGGGTGGTGGAACTAGATTTGAATCCAGTCTCATTTAACTCAAAAGTCCTGGTTCATAACCACTACCACCTACTCTCCTGTTGACCACTCTGTCTCAGTAACAACCGATTTTCTACTCCAAGGGAAAAGAACTCATTAATATCTTTACCATTATGTTATTTCATTTTTACTTTATTTTGCTTGATGATATTTATTTGCATTGCTTTCTCTCTCCATAAGATAAACTGTCATTTATTCATTTGTTTTTCCATGTCCCAAAGAGTATTTGCACATAGTAGGCACCCAATTAATATATGTCAAAAGGATAAATATGTTTGGCTGTCTCGGATACTGTATCTGGTGGTTGAAGTGAAAGACCATCAATATGGAAATGAGATAATTGTGATCAGAAAAGTGCTAATGAGGGTTCCTCCTTGGAGAGAAAACTAACTGAATAGATGACTTTAATTTCTTATAGCAAGTTAGTAAGTAGTATAATAAAATGAATAAAACATAATCACAGATATTTATCCTTTTGCTTACTGAGAAATAATTTGTTACAAAGTACAGGCATACATCATAGATATTACAAGTTTGTTTCCAGACTACAATAAAGCCAGTATCACAATAAAGTGAGTCATAGTCTTTTTGCTGGTGGATGGTCTTGTCTTCAATTTGTAAAATATGCAACATCTGCGAAGCACAATAAAGCAAAACAATAAAATGAAGTATGCCTGTAGACTGACTCCTTTTTTCAAGGAGCATTTACTTGATGTCGTGTTTTTCTTTTGGGGGGAGGGGTTGGAGAACTATGTATTAAACATATGTAGAGAAGACACTCATGTGCATGCTGCGTACACACACAGGAGTAGGCCCTGTTCTCTGCAAACTTATTATACTGTTGGAGAGACTCAGCAAATGACCAGGGAACAGGTAACAAAGTCACTTACTAAGCAAGAACTTGGCAAAGCGGTACAAGCAGGAAAACAATTTTCAGTGATTGCAACTCAAGAGTGGTAAGTGCTGAAAAGGACAATGTTAGAAGGCACTAGACAGTGGAAGAGCCCGTGCAGGCAAAGGTTCCAAGGCAGAAGTGATGAGTTTAATTACTCTTGAAGAACAAGATAGGCTCTAAGCAGATGGATGGGAGAGATGTTTCAGGTAGAGGCATAAGAGGGTTTGGCATGACAGATGGATGACTATAACCAGAGCCAAATGAATGCATGATTGGGCACTATACTAGTTTGCTATTGCAATAAGATAACACAAAATTAGTGGCTTTAAACAATACAAACATTATCTTACAGTTATGATGGTCAGAAGTCCAAAGTCATTCTCACCGGGCTAAAATCAAGATGTTGGCAGGGCATTCCTTTTGCAGGCTGTAGAGGGGAATCAGTTTCCTTATCCTTTATGGTTTCCTTACCCTTTACAGCTTCTAGAGGCTTCCCACATTCCTCGGCGCATGGCTGTGAAACACTCTGACCTCTGCTGCTACCATCACATCCACTTCTCAGACTCCAAGCCTCCTGACTCCCTTTTATTAGGACACTTGTGATTCCATTGCACCCACCTGGATAATTGAGGCTACCATCTTCATTTCAAGGTTCTTCAATTAATCACATCTGCAAAGTCCCTTTAGCCTTGTAAAGTAACATATTCACAGGTTCTGGGGATTAGGATGTAAATATTTGCTGCGGTCAGGTGGGAGGGGGACATTATTCTGTCTACCATAGATAGGATAATTTTTTCTTCTGATTGTCAGAAACATGTCTCTTCACCATCAACTCTCCTTATTCAAAATGAATGTCCATGTTTGCTTCCATATAAAATAGTTTGTTTCCTTTTCTTGCCTGCTGTCATCCCATACTCCGTATTTTGATTTGTCCAAATACATAAAATCCACTTTTTCTTTTGCTCATTTTAGATATCCTTTTCTGACTCCAATTCTATTTTTATCTTTATTTTTTAAAAAAATATACTTTCATTGTAAAGGTGGTACCTGCTCACTCTAGAAAGTTTAGATAACAGTGAAATAAAAAACTGAAAAAAATAGCACCTCTTTTTCCTCTATCCCCTATATTCATAATTACCACTCTGAGTGAATTTTTTTTCCCGGTCTTTTCTCCATGTACTTTTTGTTTTTGTTTTTCCTCTGAGAAGTTATCATGTTATCTTTAAAGAAAATATCATATCTTTTGTTTGTTGTACTGACATTATAACAGAGGTAAAAGTTCTAAGACTAATAGATTTGAATTGTTTGCCTAGGAATTATCTATAGTTTTTCTTCCTTCCCTATACACTATTTGATAATGTCTGATATTTTATGGATATTTTTGTCAATTGTAGAGCATTGGGCCAACATACTCAGGAAGTTGTCGTTATTAACAATAAAGTTTCTTTCTGAGCTTTAATTGTTAACCTAGAGTTTAACATTCAACATATATGTAATTTGGATTATTTTTCATTTATATTGTACTTGTCCATACTGAAAATCCCCTGCCAGATTTTTATTTACTCATACTATTTGTTTGTTTGTTTATCTATCTATTTATTTATTTATTTATTTTAGGGAAGGCAACCTTTGATCAACCTCACAGATTACAAGGACCTTGTCAGTTTACAATCCCTTATTTTTTATTTTTATTTTTTTACACCTACAGCATCTGGTCTTCCTTGGTGGTCTCCTATCCAAGTACTAACAAGGCCCGACCCTGCTTAGCTTCTGAGATCAGGTGGAATGGGGTTTGCTCAGGGTGGCATGACTGTAGACTACTCACACTTTAAATTCAACTAAATTCAACAAATATTTATTGAGCTTGAACTATTATGCAAAGAAAATATTGACACAGTCCCTTTTTAAAGAGCTTATTTATGTAGCTCAAAACCTATCAAGTAAGGCACATTGAGTGTAGTAAGACATGTGCAATGACTATTTAGGGTACATGGAATAATTTTTCTTTCAATTTATCTCAATTCAGCATCTGCAGCCTTTGCCTATCTTGTATTTTATTTTTAGTTTTTGACCCTTGGCCCCTATAATAGGGCAATGACTAGAATAGTCTAAGCACTCCAGGGGGTGGGGAAGGGGTGGGTATGGGGTACTTTCAGTATGTACTTTAGTAATCAATCCTGGCTTTGACCTTGACTTGGCTTTAATCTCAGTGTGGGCACGATGTGTGGCCTTTGCACATTTGGTACCGAAACATTGCTTTTGTGATAAAGGCTTA